CTGGAACTGGTTATGCCCAATGACGTAGTCTAACATTTAGACAGATATACATAACTCTCAAAAAATGCACATTATGCCCTTTCTATTAATCCTATTTTATTTTTGCATATTTTATTAAGACGTCTCGTTTAGGAGCTTGGTCTTTGCTGATTAAGAAATTTAAGATAAGAAGTATAGCCATCCAGAGGGAGATACAAAATGGGGCTGAACAGTGCTTAAGAGATGCATTAATTTTTAATCTGACGCCCCAAAATATAATCACACTCCAAATGGATTAAAAGAAAAGTTTTGATATGGCCCTAATTCTGAGAGCAGAAAGAGTAGAGAATTAAGTGCCCCTAAACATGTTTTAGTGCCCAAAGCTGTGTGAGGTGGACATCATAAGAATGTGTCACTGGCTGAATTCATCAGGAATGAGCAAAAAGCATGCTTTTAGAAACCAAAAAGTGACAGAACTGCTGGTGTGTCCAGAGCCTTTTTATTTAAAATGTCGTGAACAGAAGGGCAGCTCCAGTCATCATGGCAAGATCCTGACACAGCTCAAACACTGTAATGATAGGCACTATTACCATGAAGGGTGTGGGAAAGTAATCATGTCTCTCTATGACTGGATACTCAAGCCACCAGAATATCCAAATAGCAAAATTAGCTGTCCTTTATGTTGCTCCTTTTTTTGGGTGTTTTTCAGTCTGACATTTTTCCTCTGAAGTTTCCTGGTACTCAGCTGTTCTGCTTCACATACCCTGAACTTCATTTCTGCAGTTCTGATGTCTTTCAAGACATCACATTTCCTACAGAAGTGAGGTCAAAAGTTTATTTGATCCAACAGTGCTGTAGGTACAAGAATCCTTATTTTCTGCCCTTTTTTTTCCCCCCTTCTGGTACATTATATCAGAGCTTAAATTATCAGCTAGGTAGGCAAGTAGGCAGGTAATATTTTACATGACCTCTGTTTTTACCCAGGTTTCTGACTACCAGAAATTTTCTGCAATGGTAGAAATACATTTTTCTGCTGATCATTTAAAAAAATGACATTAAAATGAATCAAGTTTAATTTCTACCACTTGTGCATCAGCATACTAATTGTGCATCATCATACTACTCAATGTTTCTGGATTTAGTAAAAGTATATTTGGAGTGTGACAGGACAGCATGAAAATCTTGAGGTCAGTGGAACTACTTTGGTTTAAAATCCTTCAGTCAAACGCAATGAGATGGGACAGAGCACTGGAATCCTGAACAGTCACTGAAATCCACAATTCACTTCCCATACACAGTTCTTTGCAGGGTCTTACAGGAAGCTAATGCACAAATTACGTTACAAAACAGACAGCACCACTAAACTGCTTTGTTTTAAATGCCTGCATTTTGTTCCCCAGGAAAAAACACTGCAGCGTGTGCAATCCATTCTCATTACTGCTAGTCTTGTTTCAATACAGAGAAAGAAAAGCATATTACTTAATGACAGGATTTTCAGTAGTGTCTAAATCCCACTGATTTAAATAAGAAAGCTGCAAGTATATCTTTCCTCTGTTACAGCTGTGAGCCACTGTAGACATGCTGGCTGCTAAAATCTGCAGTGCCCTGGGAGTGACTGAAACAAAACACCTACTGCTGGCCACTCAATCATTTGCAAAGCCATACAGTGAACTGTATACCTGCCTGAAGAGACATGCAAGAGGCATACAAAAGACAATCACCCAAGCACATGAAAGAGAGGAAGAGCTTGCAAGTATGACAGCAATTACCTTCAAGACACAGACCATGGCTATCTGCCAGTATTCGCAATCAGGTGTGTCAAAGCGATGATCAGCTTTAAATGCCTACACAGCTGAAGCTCTCTTTGAACCCTTAATTTTCCTATTACACAACTAATTTGTGTCTTTGTTTACCTCTTCTCCCCCGCAAAAAGAAAACTAAAGGGTTACAGGTTTAGCACATATGACACCAGGAGAGCCTTTCTGTAAAGCAACAGAAACAACTCCATGGGCATCTGCATTCAGAAGGGACCTCCTGGCACCACAAGACCATGCCCTTCTCCCTGTCACACACCCAAAGGCATCTCCAGACAATGCTTATTCAATATGTGATGTTTAAAATACATTCACCAACTTAATCAATGTCTTCTATATGGCAGTTGCTAGCTACAGAAATAAATGGCCATTTAAAAAACCTAACTAACTTCTATGGACTAATAACTTGTAAAAGCCCTCATCCTGAATATCTCAGAAGAAATTAAAAGGTCCTCTATGTATAAAGCCTTGCAAATTTCCTTCTTTATCAACTTCAGGTGCTGAAAGATACAATCTACTACACTTAGGCAAGTTAGGGATCTCTGAGTTTACCTGGTGTTTGGGATGCCAAGACATGCTTTCATGTGGTGAATTCTCAGGGCAGTAAGGAATGAACTCAGTAAATGCTGGGTTTTATACTGACAGAGACAGTCAGGAAAATAATTTAAAAGATATTTGCTATTCCAATTTTGGTATGGAACAACCTTCTTGTCTAAAAAACAGATTTACTTTCTTTATTAATTTTGTGAGTAGGAAAGAAGGAATGGTGTGGAAGCTACCATGCTGGTTTTCAGATCCTGCTCTGGACACCAAACATCCCAATTTCACTCTGAGAAGTAAGAAACTCTGTTTATATAAATATTAAGTGGTTCTTCCATTGCATAGTAATGGTGTGAAAGACCAGTTCACAGATAAATCACCTGAAATATGAGGAGAGAAGCATCACAGGAGTGACTACAGCCAAGAGTCACGGGTTTTATTCTCAACTTCTGCTAAGAGTTTGATGTCTCTTAACAGATCATTTTTTCATGGAAGATTTTGAAAAAAATCAAAGGAAAAATGATATTAAAAACAGTATTGGTAAGGTTTTCATCCCAACTATAAATTATTTATTTTCTTCATTTTGCTTTATTATCTGTAGAATACAGAAAGCCTAACAGAGCAGGCTTCCTTACTGCCTGAATTATGAAGGTAAAACCCCTGGCTATTGCAGAAAACTAGCCCATCAACTTATTTTTTATCCAAGTTTCCAGCTAACTTGTTGCTATAAAAGTGAAAATATAAAAAAAAATATATTCAACTTAACAATAAAAATAATATTTATAGCACTTATCTGTAGTAAACTTTATATAAGAATATAGATATAAAATCATATTTTCAGCAGGACGCAGCAAAAGTTCTTCAGCTTGCCCTAAAATGCACTTTTTTGGTATCCATTATGTTTTTTGAAAATAATTGTATCACAGAATCACAGAATTTCTAGGTTGGAAGGGACCTTTAAGATCATCGAGTCCAACCCATGTTCTAACACCTCAACTAGGTCATGGCACTAAGTGCCACATCCAGTCTTTTTTTGAGCACATCCAGGGATGGTGACTCCACCACATCCCTGGACAGATGATTCCAGTATTTGACCACTCTTTCTGTGAAAAACTTCCTCCTTAAATCTAGCCTGTATCTCCCTTGGCACAGCTTGAGACTGTGTCCTCTTGTTCTATCTGTTGTTGCCCGGAGAAAGAGACTGACCCCCAGCTCACCACAGCCACCCTTCAGGAAGTTGAAGAGAGTGATAAAAGAAATCGTTTCAGGCATACACTCAAAACAAACACAACACAAACCCATTATTAGATAATGATTCCCTCTCCTGTCCATTTTCACAATGTAGCAAAAATTTGGTCACAGTGAATAATTTTTACTGCTTCATCACAACCAGAAAGGACAAGTTAATTTTAGTTTCTTTAGCCTTAGGTCTCTCAAAATGACTATCACATCACACAGTTTAATTCCAAACCTTTAAAAACACTGCTTGCACTTCTACTCTGAATTCACATGCATACAAAACACCATCAGAAATGCTTTTCTGTTAGAAAAACAATCCAGCATCATAATTGATCACAAGAATCCAGACTTTCAGGGATTTACCATCAGATGCCTGTTTAAAAATATCTTACTCTTCTCCAAGAGCAGAGCATAATGAATACACTGCAGTGTCAAAGAGTGCACTGTTTTCAGCATTGCACTATCTTTGTTGAGTATTAGAGGTCAAGCTCAACAATACGTCTCAATATATTGAATGTACTCCACTACTGCTATTAAAAAGCCCTATGGAGAAGCATATTATAATATTCACCTGTAAAGAAGAACACTGAAAAAGCTGCAGATTATTCACTATAGATAAAATAGGGAGACTAATCTCATGCGCACTGCATATGATACAGTAAGATACATGCAAATGTCTTCATTTCATAATATATACATATATTTATCAAAGACCTTCTTATGAAATAGCTATTATGGATCAAAAAAATTAACTGCTGTCCATTCCATCCACATGTACTGGAAAAATAAGTATTTTCTTTGTCCACAAATAAGCTATGAAGAAAAATGCTTCTAGAAAGGAATTTGGTGTTTTGTTTTGTAACCAGAAGGTTCTGCGGGAAGCAATAAAGCTCATTTAGACTAGTGAAGGTTTTGCGCTAGATTTCCAAATAATTTTGTTGAAGAATAAAATAAAATTCTTCTATGCATGTGAATAAGTTGATACTCTTGCCTTCATGTTCCAAAAATAACTAGGAAAAAACATAATGAAAGTAGAGAGGGCAAGCTGGATAATCAAAACGCCTTCTGAAAAGAGGAAGAATCAGAAACTCCACATTCAACAGCACCTTAAATCAAAGTCAAAGGTCTGAGCAGAGGAACTTTAGAGGTAGTATATGTGCTGCCACATAGTATCTCTGTGTGTCTTTAGAAGGTAATGAGACATCTCTGCAGTAAACATCTAATGAAGCAAACCACAAATCCTTGAACTCCTTTATATTTCAGGAAGAGACATAACCATGAATTCAAGTTCTACCAGCCTAATTGAACTACATTCCAGTATTTGACAGGTCAACCAGTTAGCAAATCAACAAGGTCAGATGTCATTTAAGCTACAAGAGAGGTTAAATACCAAGCTGAAAATGCATGTCTTTTTAATTTCTTATCTACCTTTCGGTCCTTTGAACAACTTGATCTCTACGACGGTCTCCAGTATAGGTCTCCTTCGCCGCACGTACAATCGCACTATGGAACCAGCCTCCTTCAGGGCCTCCACGGCTTTGCTGTGTGACACTTCTGACACGTCAACTTCGTTCACTCGCAAGATGCAATCGTTGACCCTACAAGAAAAACAAAGAACCACAGGTACTGAATGCTTCAGCTGTTAATTCGGACCAAACAAAGTTTTGTCAGCAGTGCTGTAAAATGAAGACGACTTCATTGGGAATTACAGAATTGCGGAACATGATGAGCTGGAAGGGACCCACAAGGATCAAGTCCACATCTGCCAGATGACAGACTTAGTGCAATATGCTTCACAAGCAATGAGAAGAGCACTCAGTCCTTCCAAAAGACATATCTGATTCAAACTGGAGTCTACCCAATCACTCACACCCACCATCCTCCTTCATAAACTGAGGTTATATGCACTATAGTGATAGAAATAAGTAATAATTTGTCTTTACAGACTTCATTAAAACAGTTTTGTCTAAACAATATAATTGCTTTAAAACATAGACATGCTGTATGCTATTATTATGGACCATAGTAAGGACAAACATGGTTGCTTTTATGGAAATCTCATAGTGTGATACAAAAGCTGTCATAGGAAAAATGCTGCCCTACAAAAAGCAGACAATTTAAAAGAGAATGCTTGATACTAAATAATTTACTCAAGTTACATTCTTTGTTTTCAACACTGACTGTAGGCTACAAGATCTGCTGTATGGCAATCACATTTTCTTTTTTATAGAATACTACTAAAATTCTCTCTTTGAGCACTTACTACAGTATCTGAGGATGGACATATAATCACCCTCAATGTCCTGGTTAGATGGAGCTACATTCTCCTTATCTGACAGATTTGTCCTAGTTGTAAAGGAAATCTACAACTTAAGAGCAGTAAAATCTATCTCCAAAGCAGCACACGAATGACTTAACTACTGGGCCATCCTTTATTTGCAAATGAGAACAAGTGAAAAGAACTAGATTAATTGAGACTCTACTGCTCTTGTGCAGTACATTTGTTGTGAGATGCCTCTAAGTATTTTGGGTACAGAAGAAAAAGGCCTATTGTAAATAATTATGTTCTTCTGTATGTCTGAAATGACAATCAGCGAAGCAAATATGGGTTGCTAAAAATAGTCACATTTCTGCTATGTTTCTATACATAAAAATCAACTATCAAATGTGACTCTTTACAGCAAAAGAACACTTGATCTGGATATTGATTAGAAGTCTTCGCACGTGAAAGGAGACTGAAACTTTACCTAAGTTTATCAGAACTCTGAGAATTTAGGATGGTTTTTGTCATGTTCTTATGGTGCTGTTTTTGTTTCAAACAACTCAAATCAAAATGACAAAAAGAACACAGTTATTTCAAACTGGTCAAACTTGGAAAGGGCACAAAGCTCATGCTTCACTTCTGAGAAGAAGTACTGTATCATAAAGTTTCTAGATACCATTCAAAGGTTGGGTTTGGTGGTTTACTCTAATGCCAGAAGTTTCCATGGCTGGGAGGGGCTTTAAGCAGCCTGGTCTAATAGAAAATGTATTGCCCAAAGCTGGGAATGATGGAAGTAAAGGATCTTTACAGTCCCTTTCAACCCAAACCAAACTATGCTACTATGATTTATGCCTTCCCACACCTGCAGGCTTTTTTCTCCCTCATAAGGAGGTTAATTTTTCAATTTTTAGTAAATAAATACAATATTCAAGAACATATATGCACATGCTGCAACAAAATAAAAGGATAATAGCAAGTCAGTCAACCCAATTTAAGAAAATTCTTTCAGATTTTTAAATGTGTGGTCTTAACCCTTAGCGAGAAAACTACTCTGCCCTAGCAAGCAGCTCTCCAATGCATTTTCCTGGCTTTACATTCATCTGCCAAGTCTACAGCAAGATTTTATTTTTGTGATTTCTTTTATCATTTATTGCTGGATATGCCCTATACCTGTAAGTTGGTTTCAGACGGTGACAGATCTGTATCCAGGAGAAGATCTGCCTGATAATCCAAGATAAAGCAAGTCCATCAGAAGAGATCCTAGTAGTTTCACCAATACACACAACAGTTGTATTATCATATAATCAGAGAAAGGTTTGGGTTGGGAGGGACCTCATAGCTCTTAGCTTTTTGGGCTGCCAGTGCACATTGCAAGGTCATGTTGAGCTTCTCATCCATCAATATCTCCAAGCTGTTCTCCTCAGTCCTGCTCTCAAATATTATGCATACATCTAATTTGATTAAGGTCTGTAGAATCCCCCACACAAATTAAAATGAGTTTGGCAGCTCTTCATATGGCACACTGGCTTAACATAATGAACATATTTGACAAAACTTTTTTAGTATAAATTCAATATGAAAGACCTTGGATAGTTAAATATAGAGCACATGCAACAATCATGTAAAACAGCTACAATTGATAGAAAAAATATCAGAGATACTTTGCTAAGGGGGAAGGTCAGGGTCTTGGAGGATTACCAATTGTTGCTATCTTCAAAGAAGATAAGGGCTTGTATTAAGGAAAAAAAACCATATTTTAAGGGTTTAAATTTCACTATATTTGTCTGAATTTGATTTTTACGGTTTTCAAGAAACTGCAGACATCCTTGAAAAGCCGATAAACACTTCAGTCAACTTGTAAGTAGAGAAGACGTGTACAATCCTTAGGCACTCACTGGACATATAGTAGGTTACAACTGATAATGATCATTCTGTTCCCTTGTTCTGAGCAATATGGTGCCCTGGAGGGAAACCCAAAGCGGCGTGGTGTGGCAGCTAAGAGCCTCAGAAGACCAAATGGTCCTGCCAACACACATTAGCCCACTTGCCGCTCCATAACAAAGCTAACCGGCACTAACTATGGACTGAAGAACAAGGGAATAATCTGCACTCTGTGGATCAACATCATGATACCAAATCCTGTAGTAATCCACAGGTCTTAGTTATGCTTGATGACTTAGCTTCAGCTAAGTCGTATTAGTGGGACAATGCTGCTTTTCAAAAGCAGAGTTACCATGCTTTCTATTGCAGAATGGCCAGCATTCATTCATTCTTTAAAACCAATGCTAACTGAATTTTTTTTTAGTTGTCTCCTCAGAAAAACTCAAATTGAGATGGACCTTCTTTATTCTTTAGTTAGAGCACAGAAATCAAGGTAAAAATAGTTACAATGGGAGAATGAGTGCAAAACTATGGAATATATCAGGTAGATACACACCTCCATTTACCAATATGGAGATATCAGATAGGCTACAGAGACAAGACAAAGAAACACTAAGCTTTCTCTTTATCCTTTGCTCCAGTGTCTAGCCTTTTTAGCCTAAGTTCCCCTACAAAACTGTTGATATTTTTTTTCTTCCAGAACTCGCAAGAGCACAGCACCTTAAGCAAGAACACAAGATTCTAGGTTGCAAGCTGAAAGGATTATTATCTTTTCTTCAAGAGGTCACCAAATAATTATAATTAAATTATCTGACCTTAAGAGAATATGTCTAGTCCATTAGCTAGAGAAGGATGACTCTCCCCTGCTTTGATTTTTTAAAAATTCTATACACACCCTTCCTATTCCATAATAATTAGAATTTACAGCACGTGGGATAAAAAATGTACATATTGATACTGGCTCATATAACTTCCTTCTAAGAGGAATAATACTTTTTTAAAAATTTCCAGTAAGAATTCAGAATAAAGGATATCACATTTACTACAGCAGTCTTCAGATCTGTCTTTAAAATCACAGAATACAGAGCTAACACTAAATGCCGATGACGCGTACGCACCTTAGGGCATAGTTTCCTTATGTATGATGATCCTTAGAGACATGATCCAATTTCTGTAGCAAATTCATGTATACTCTTAGACCCCTTCCTGACATTCTAAAGTAGTATAAAACTACTTCTATGTCTATTTCAAAAATAAAGAGATAAAATTTATCAGTGGAAGACAATTCCTGTCTGTCTCTGGAAGCTGGAGGGAAACTAGTGCTTATGAAAATGTCTGATGAAGGTAACAGCCAATCCTAACTCAAAATTTGACACTTATGTGATTTATAATGAAATTCCAAATATCTCATGATTACTACTGAAAATAGCACTTGATAAAACTTAAGATGGGGGGAGGGGTTTATAACTTACAAATGACACTGCAGAATTAAAACCAAACTTAATAATTTGAAATCCTAGGACTGATTGTGATTTAAAAATATGTGGAAATATTGGTGCAATAAAATGATAAACTTAACTGTACTTGACGTAAGGGCACTATTTGAAGTATTAAATCTAACCTATGCTTTTAACAAGAACAGAATTATCTTTAGTTCTGAGGAAATTAAATAAGGACTAAACCCACAATGTTTCATTTCTGAGAGAAAAACATAATCTTTCAAGCCTCTGAATCAATGGCATTAATCTATTGCACTGAAATAAATTCAATAAAATATAATTAGCTTTCCCTAAATGATGTTGGCCTGGTGCCATCCCAGCTCTTTGTGTTCAACCTCCACCAGGTTCTTTCATAGTCTACAAATGTAGGATTAAAACCTCACCTACATCCTGCTTCCTTTGTCTCCTCTTCACAGTCTTAAACAAGCTTTCCAGAGGAGAGTCTACACCTTCTTGGCTCATCTCAAACAGAAACTAGCCCTCATTGCAGCCCCCACACAGACTCAGCATAAATATTGGATAATCAAGCAAAGCAGTCTCCTCCCTGTTCCTGGCTGCAGTCGCCCTTGCAACAAGTCTTCAGAAGCAAGAGTCGAAAAGCAATCACCTCAACCAAGCACAAAGGCAGCTGTGTGTGCCTGTGCGTGCAAAGACAGGAACTAAGCTCTTGCACAGCATTTCCCTGAGTAGAATCACCCAGGCAGATGCTTTCTCCCCTTGCAGTGGCAAGCCAGTTTCAGTCTGTTGGCCCTGGGAGCCCCAAGGCTGGTGGATGGCTGAGCTAACAAGCCTTGCTGAAAAGCAGGGTGTGCTGGCTCAAGCCTAGTGTAGTGATTCTCCAGCCTCACAACTCATATCAGCAACTGGAATGATTATCATTGCAGACACTGAAATAAAGAAAAAACCTCATAATATGTTTTTCATTTAAGTATGTGTGCAGATTTTACTAAATATA